TTCCTTCTTCCTTCCTTTCTTTCTTCTTTCCCTCCCTTCCTTCCTCTCTCCCCTCCTCTCCCTCCCCCCCCCCCCCCCCTCCTTCCTTCCTTCCTTCCTCTCTTTCTCTCCCTCTCTCCCCCCTCTCCTTCCTTCCTTCCTTCTTTTTTCTTTCTTTCTTTCCTCTCTTTCTTTCCAGTTTGATCGAGGCTGTTTTTCTTTTCCCCAGCTTCTCTTGGGTGGCCTGCCTGGGTTGTCTGCTTATGGCCGAACCTGTTTTTTAGTACAACTGCCAACTTTCCCAGGTTTTCTGAGGCCAAGTTACACCAAGAGCGCCAGATGAAAACAACCCGTCTTCTAGAAACATCTTTAAAAGATGATTTGTTTCTCCCAACGGTATCCAGTACTGGGGCGAATGAAGATTATGGAATTCAACTTCAGAACACATTTGTTTCCTTTTTAAAGACAAAAGAGCCCAAACAAATAGATCCATAACCATTTCCCCTTCCGGTTTTAATTGAAATGTTGGCATTCCTGCCAGCTCTTTGGTTCTGGTTCTGGGCAAACTTTAGCCTTCTAGGCCTTTCTGTAAAATAGGAATGATAGATTTTAAAAAATGTGTTTATCTATTTATTTTTTTGCCAGCTTTAGGGTTTGAACTCAGAACCTGAGCACTGTCCCTGAGCTATTTTGCTCAAGGCTAGTGCTCTATCACTTGAGCCATGGCTCCAACTTCTGGTTTTCTGGTGGTTCGTTGGAGATAAGTCTCATGGACTTTCCTGCCCCAGCTGGCTTCAAACTGTGATCCTCAGATCTCAGCCTCCTGAGTAGCTAGGATGATCTACATAGGCTGGCTTCACACCATGATCCTCAGATCTCAGCCTCCTGAGTAGCTAGGATGACAGGCCATGAGCCTATTTGTGCTTTCCTTTGTCACTGACAAGAGTATGTCACGAAGCCCAGTCATTTGTTTCTCTTGTAGCTGAGGTGTGACAGATGCGCACCCAACCACACCCAGCCACTGGTTGAGATGGGGTCTTGCAAACTTCTTTTTTTTTTCCCTCCCTCAAGCTTACTTGGAACTGTGATTGTTGGATCTCAGCCTCCTAAGCGGTTGGGATTCTAGGCCTGCGCTACTTGGTGTGGCGTAACAATCTTGACTTCAACCCAGGACAGCTGACCTGAAACTCCTGGCTTCAAGATTTCTGTTGTTTTAAGCCATCATCCGGTGGTAATTTGCCTGCCATCCTAGCTACTGAAGAGGCTGAGATCTGAGGATCGCAGTTTGAAGCCAGGCTGGGCAGACAGAACAGAGAAACACTTATCTCCAATAAACCAGCAAAAAGCTAGAAGGGGAGCTGTGGCTCAAGTGGTTGAGCACCAGCCAGCAAGAGCATGAGGCCCTTCCTCTTCACCATCTGCATTGCTCTGGGCTTCGGCCAGTCTTTCTCAGGTCTTAGATGTTTAGTTCTTTCCCCCTATCCCGTGTTCCAGGCATCATGGCTCTGGAGAAAGCTTCTCAGCAAGAAGCAGTCGGTGGTGGCTTTCTGTCTTGCGATGACTCTGTATGTCATGGCCGTCACCCACTTTCCCACCGATCCTCCAGCCTCTGGCACTGATAGTGATTCCAGAAAGCCCGACGAGGAATCGGACACTCCTGACCCCTGCCTTGTTCAGGTTCTGAGCGCTAGCCGGAGGCAGCATATAAGAAGAAACCTTGGGTCCCGGAGAGGCCGGACTTTGCCTAGAGATTCCGTCCTGCTTTGTTCCAAGAAGCCAGGGAGAGCGGACACGCGCCAACGGTCCCTGGGCGGGGACACCAAGCATCCAGGGAGAGCCAAGAGAGACCTGAGACTCAGGGTCCACCATCTTGGGCTCCTGAAGGAGGTCAGAGAGCCAGGCTATGGTGGCTCCAGCCGGGTGATGGCCACGGGTGACCTGGTCACCCGTGATCAGGAAGGAAGTGACCAGCCAGCCCCCCACGTTGGACAGATCTCCGGGCCTCTTGCATCGGAAGGCAAGGAGAGAGTCTACACTGCTCGGGGCCCCCAGCAATGGCCTGCTTCTTTTGGGGACCTCCAGACTTCTGAGTGGTGTGAGGCTGAGAGTTCTGGCCTATGGGCCAGCCCAGGGCCTGGGGGGGCCCTCCCCCCATGGTTCAGCCAGGAGGACTCCAACACGCTCCAGCTCTTGTCCCATGGGGAGCTGGTGGACAAAGCCAGAGTCCCCGCCCACGGGCAGGTGCTCCAGGTGGGCCTCTGGCTGCCAGGAGCCTATCAGGACACACCTCCCCGCGTGCTCAGCCAATGGTGTTCTTCAGGGCTCTGTGGGCTGATCAAAAGGCCGGGGGACCTGCTGGAGGTGCTGGCCTTCCACGTGGACCGAGTCCTGGGCCTGCGCCGGAGCCTGCCCGCCGTGGCCCGCCGCTTCCACAGCCCCCTCCTGCCCTACCGCTACACGGACGGCCAGGCCAGGCCGCTCATCTGGTGGGCGTCCGATGTCCTGCATTTGGGTGACCCAGATGAAGATCAGAACTCGCTGGCCTTGGGCTGGCTGCAGTACCAGGCGCTGCTGGCCCACGGCTGCCATGGGGCAGGCCGGCCCCCCTGCCTGGGCATTCGCCGGACCGAATGGGCCCGCCTCGCCCTCTTTGACTTCCTGTTACAGGTAAGGGGCGGGGGCGGGTAGAGGGTAGAGAGGTGAGGCCTGGATTCTTCACTGACGATGATGACTCTCCCCATTGTCACAAGCTACTCTGTCCATCCACCCATCCATCCATCCATCCATCCATCCATCCATCTATTCATCCATCCATCCATTCATCCATCCATCCATCCATTCATCTCTCCATCCATCCATCCATCCATTCATCCATCCATCCATCCATTCATCTATCTATCCATCCATCCATCCATCCATCCAGCTGTCTATCCATCCATCCATCCATTCATCCATCCATCCATCCAGCTGTCTATCCATCCATCCATCCATTCATCCATCCATCCATTCATCCATCCATTCATTCATCCATCCATCCATTCATCTATCTATCCATCCATCCATCCATCCAGCTGTCTATCCATCCATCCATCCATTCATCCATCCATCCATCCATTCATCCATCCATCCATCCAGCTGTCTATCCATCCATCCATCCATTCATCCATCCATCCATTCATCCATCCATTCATTCATCCATCCATCCATTCATCTATCCATCCATCCATCCATCCATCCAGCTATCTATCTATCTATCTATCCATCCGTCTGTCCATCCGTCTGTCCATCCATCCATCCATCCATTCATCCATCTATCCATCCATCGAGCTATCTATCCATCTATCCCTCTCTCTCTCTCTCTCTCTCTCAGTACTGAAATTTGAATTCAGGAGCTCACATTTGCTGTACCACCAGAACCACACTTCCAGCTCTTTTTGCTTTTAAGTTTCTTTCTTGATAAAGTCTGATGCTTTTTTTCCACCCTCCCCTGACCCCAGCTGTGGACTGTGACCTTTCTATCTATGCCTAGTATCTGGCTGGGATTACAGGCATGCGCTACCACACCTAACAATTTATGAGTCTCATTAACTTTGTGTGTGTGTGTGTGTGCTCGTGCATGTGTGTCCTGGGGCTTGGACTCAGGGCCTGGGCGCTGTCCCTGAGCAGGGCTTCATGCATGCTAGGCAAGTACTCTACTACTGAGCCCCTTGTTAACTTTTTTTATTTTATTTCTTACCCAGATTGGCCTGGAACTGTAATTCTCCTGATCTCTGTCTCCTGAGTAGCTCCTCTCATTGTCTTTTTCCTTTCCTTTTCTTCTTCCTCCTCCTCCTTCTAATTTTGAGACAGGGTTGGCTGGAAACTCAACCCTCCCGCCTCGGCCCTCCCAAGTGCTGGGGTTACAGGCATGCGCCACCGTGCCCAGCCCTGTCCTGGCGTTTTACTGCACGAGAAGGTCTGGGCTGCTGGGGAGCCCAGCTGGCTGCTTCCATGCCTCTCACTTTCCAGCCACCTCCTGGATTCGGAGGTGACGGGTCAGGGTCAGAATGCCCCCCATCTTCCATGGTGTGGGGTTGAGCGGCCCATTCCCTAACTTGACTGAGGGCAGGACTTCCTGTGTCAGGAGGAAGCACTCTTCCCTCTTTCTAGCTCCTACAGGACCCTCTCATCTAGAAAATACATATGAAGAGCGCCCCCTGCAGGCATCCACAGACACTCACCACAGGCCCTTTGCATGATATGGGTGGCAAAAGCAAAAGCCAGGATCCCCCCCCCCATCATCCTAGATGAGCATGATGATGGTAGAAGATATCCCAGGACAGGTGGCCTGAGTGTCCACACCCCCACACCCCCACTTAAAGGCTGCCTGTGCCCCCAGGTTCATGACCGCCTGGATCGTTACTGCTGTGGCTTCGAACCTGAGCCAACAGAGCCCTGTGTAGAAGAGAGGCTCCGAGAAAAATGTCGGAACCCTGCTGAACTGCAGCTGGTCCACATCCTGGTAAGCCTGTCCAGTTCCTCAGCCCCAACCTGCGTCTTCCCGTCTCCAGAAAAACATGTTTTTATGTTCCTTTCTGCCGGTCCTGGGGCTTGAACTCTGGGCCTGGGCGCTGTCCCTCAGCTCTTCAGCTCCAGGCAAGCGCTCTACCACTTGAGCCACAGCGCCACTTCTGGTTTTCTGATGGTTCTTTGGAGATCAGAGTCTCACAGACTTTCCTGCCAGGGCTGGCTTTGAACTGCGATCCTCAGATCTCAGCCTCCTGAGCAGTTAGGATGACAGGCGTGAGCCACCGGCGCCCAGCCTGTGGCCATGTTTTGAGATGATCTGTGACAGATTTCCCAGTCTGGGTGCTTGAACATACATCTAAGAAGTCACAATATAGAAGGAACCAGGGATCCCAGAGCCTCTGAATAAAAAAACAGGGTAGGGGTGGGCAGAGAGTGCTTTCCAGCTGTATTCTGGGAGACCAAAATTCATCATGGCTAGCAGAGGTTGCCAGAGAGGATTATGGGAAAATAGCTATGCATTTAAAAAGGCCCCAAAGAACTCCTCCTGGAAACTGAAGCTGGTTCGTTTTTCTGGGAAAGTATTGGATGTTCTTGGCAATGCTCAAGGGACTCATGTGTGTGTGTGTGAGAGAGAGAGAGAGAGAGGGAGATGGGGCTTGAGCTCAGGACCTGGGCATTCACCCTGTGCTTTTTATTTTGCTCAAGGTTAGCACTTTATCACTTGAGCCACAGCGCCACTTCCGGTTTTGGAGTGGTGCATTAGAGATAAGTCTCACGGGCTTTCCTGCCCAGGATGGCTTTGAACTGTGATCCTCAGATCTCAGCCTCTTGAGTAGCTAGGATGACAGGCGTGAGCCACCAGCGCCCAGCCTGAAGACTTTTGATGTCCAAGCTCAGGGGTGCAGCTGGCAGAAGAGGTGAGCGTGTGTAGGGTGTGTGAATGTGTGTGATACTGATGGCCCTGATTGGTGGGTTCCTTTCACACCTGTGCTACTTCCCACCCAAGCTCCCTACCCCTTCAGCCAGGGGTCAGAGTCCCTCACCCCCACCCGGCCTTACAATTTTAGCAGGTGTTGCTCTGGCTTAGGTTTATGGGTTCAAGTTTGAATCCTAGACGTGGCTGCTTACTAAGCTGTGTGAATTGATTACATTTCCAGTATATCTTTCTCTCTCTAAGTGTGATGGCTCAAGTCTGTCATCCTTGCTGCTGAGGAGGCTGAGATCGGAGGATCAAGGTTCAAAGCCAGCCTGGGCAGGAAAGCCCGTGAGACTCGTCTCCAGTGAATCCCCAGAAAGCCAGATGTGGCGCTGTGGCTCTAGGAGTAGAGCACTAGCAAGACTTGCTTGAGATAACATTGAGCCAAACACAGTTAGTACTGACAAGATCCCACAGGTGCCAGCCCACTGTGGGTTGACCAGTTGTCTCTTGTGTCTCCTTTTCCCTTTTCTTCCTCCCAGGTTCGCAGTAGTGATCCATCTCATCTAGTCTACATCGACAATGCCGGCAATCTCCAACAACCAGAGGACAAGCTCAACTTCCGGCTGCTGGAGGGCATAGATGGGTAAGTACCCAACAAATGCAATAGAGGTTCTTTTTTGTTGGTCATGGGGCTTGAACTCAGGGCCTGGGCACTGTCCCTGGGCTCTTTTTTCATTCAAGGATAATGCTCTACCGCTTTGAGCCACTGCACCACTTCTGCTTTTTTTTTTTTTTCTGGTGGTTCATTGGAGATAAGAGTCTCACGGCCTTTCCTGCCCTGGCTGGCTTTGAACCGCGATCCTCCAGATCCCAGCCTCTTGAGTAGCTAGGATGACAGGCGTGAGCCACCGGTGCCTGCCTTCACTTGTGGTTTTTTTTTTTTTTGCTTTTTGTTGTTGCTTTCTTTTCCATGGGGACTTGGCTCCAGGTTTCCTGCGTCTGCAGTGAAGGTTCTAGAATCTGGGTGTCTAGAGAATCTGCTACTCAAGTCCTTGAGGATGGATCCAGTGTTCTGGGAGAGCCAAGGCGGGGCCCCGGGGCTGAAACAGGTCCTGCAGACCCTGAGTCGGAGGGGCCACATCTTACTGGCGCACATCCGGAAGTACAACCTCACTCTCTTTGGGGATGAGGACCCACCACGCGGGTGGACACCTGACACATCACTCTGAGCCTCCACACACATTTCTATGAGGTCCTCCCACGGCTCATGAGGACCAACAGGAAAAGCCAGAAGCCTTGTGGGTTCCAGCTTGGTTGGCTGTTAACTCCAGGGCACCAAGAACTCTCTTCAAGAATGTTCTGTGAACTTCAGGCTGGATGATTGTGTGTGTGTGTGTGTGTGTGAACGGTGGTTCAGAACTTCCCTGCCTTGGCTCTGAGAAATTCAATACTGAAGCCATCTGTCTTTGTAGGCTGCAAGCATTCTGTTTGTAGCCAGGCTTGGTAGTACATTTCCATAAGCCCAGCTGCTTTGGGAGACAGAGATGGATGGGAAGGTCACAAGTCAGGCAAAAATCACAGCCTTGGCAAAAATGAGGAGGACCAGCTCTCAAAAAAACCAAGTCAGAACCAAGTGCCAGTGGCTCACGCCTGTCATCCTAGCTACTCAAGAGGCTGAGATCTGAGGATCGTGGTTGGAGACCAGAGGGCGAAAGAAACCATCTGTGAGAATCTTCTCTCCAATGAACCACCAGAAAACCGGAAGTGGTGCTGTGGCTCAAGGGGTAGAGCACTAGCCTTGAGCTGAAGAGCTGAGGGACAGTGCCCAGGCCCAGAGTTCAAGTCCTACCACCGACAAAACAAAAAACCCTAAAGTTACTGTTCCATTGACATAGTAGGCATTTGCATTTTCTGTGAGGTGTCTTTTCCTTCGAAGATGTTTGTCTTTTCCTTGTTAATTTGTTACTGATCTTTGAATCTAATTAGTACACTCAGTCTCCCCCCCCCCACCACCCATTAGAGATGTTGTCAGTGTTTTCTTCCCATCTGTCATCTGTGTCTTGATTTTGTTGATGGTGTCTCTTGCCAAATACAAAATTTTAATTTCCATGGAGTCAGAGCTGTTCACCTTTTCCTGCCTTCCTAGGGAAAACTTGTCACCGTTTCAGGATTTGGGGAGACTATTGGAAAGCAGCGTTTCTTTCACATTCACGCTCAAGCCCATCAGAAATGTGTTATTTGTAGCAGTGGACAGCAGAGATGAAAATGAAGTGTTACTTGTCCCAAATGGAAAGTCAGTTTGTTCCAACATTCAAGAGTCCTGAGAACTGAACCAGGAAACTTGAGGGAAGAGATGGGTTACACTGGGCTGGGAGGGAGCCTAGGAGGTGGGCTGGGAAGGTGGCTCAGTGGTAGAGTGCTGGCTTAGCTGCATGAAGCCCTGGGTTCGATTCCTCAGTACCACATACACAGAAAAAGCCAGAAGTGGCACTGTGGCTCAAGTGGTAGAGCACTAGCCTTGAGAAAAAAAGCTCAGGGACAGTGATCAGGTCCTGAGTTCAAGCCCCAGGACCGACACACACACACACACACACACACACACACACATCTAACAGTGGATGTGCTTTCTTACCACAGCCCTCAGTGGGAGAAGGCTTTGTTCCCTCCCTCCCCCCAAGATGGGCATGTGGCATTAACTCAGGTGGGCAAATGAAATCTACCCATCTGGTTGCCTATCAACCAACCCATCAAGGAGACCACTTGGATCAACCTGTTCCTGGGCATTTAATGACTGTTGACAGACAACTCTCACTGGGGCTACAGGTGAACTTCATGATGACAAAGCGGATGAACCTCCCAGTCCATTTTCTAGAACCTTCCACGCTGCTCCGAAGGACCCAGGAAAAGGTATACAATTCCCTCCCCCCTCCACCTCCATTCAGCCAGGCCGGTCCCCTGGCCCGCTTCACTTTTCCTCTTCCAACTTCTGTTCCAGAGTGCACGATGATAAAGACAGAAGCGATGTGGGGTGCTGGCCTGCCACCCCTGGTGGGAGGGGGGGGAGGCAAAGAGAGCAACGAAGACAAGGAGGAAGGAGACAGGATGTGGAGGTTTGCTGGGGAAAAGAAGAAATGCTCCAACTTCCCGCTGCAGTGTGTGTGTGGAGATCCAGAGGCCTGAGGAGATGGAAGGGGTGCAGAAAAGATCCCCTAAGCTGGAGAGACCCCACTGTCTGCCCAGAGAGGGGAGGAAGGGAGGGAGGCCCGGCCCGGCCGCACACCCAGGCTGCTACGTGCTGCACACCAGCACGTCTGCGAAGGGTCCCGAGAGGCTCTTGTTGAAGATGCAGCGGATCCACACCAGGTAGGTGGTGGAGGGCTTGATGTTGTCCGTGAACGTGTGGTTCTGCAGGGTCAGGAGGTGGGGCACGTAGGTGTTCTCGCCCTGCTCCTGCAGCCACACCTCGTACTTCACCTCCTTCACCTTCAGGTACCGCAGGTTCCAGGGCATCTGCCAGGACACGGTGAGGCGGGCCCCGGCGTCTCCCCGCGCCGAGCCCTGGCACCGGGCCTCGCGCACCTTGCTGGGGTACAGGCTGACGGCGCCCTGGGGCCGGCCGGGGGTCGGGCCGGGCCGGCCGGGCACGGTGCGCCGGATGGTCCGGATGAGCGACGCCACGTCCACCCGGGTGTCCTGGTAGATGCGGAAGAGCCACTCGGGGTTGCGGCAGCACAGGTGGCGGGGCACCTCGCGGCTCTGCACGATGCGCTCCTGCTCGGCCCGGTCGAGGTGGCCGATGCCGCCCTGGTCCCACGGCCGGTCCGGGTGCGTGACCGTGTCCTCGGGCCGGGTGTTGCGCCAGGCCACGTAGCGCAGGTCCATGCCGGGCAGGGTGGCCAGCGTCTTGTACGGGGTGTAGTGGTCCGGGTTGACGGCGTAGGGGAACAGCTCCACCACGGTGGCCCCGCGGGGCAGGAAGAGGGCGGTGATCAGCTGCGCCCCGTGCATGCTGACCAGCATGGAGGCCCGGCTGACCAGCCGCACCACGTCGGCGAAGGGCCGGGTCCCCCCGGGGCCCCCTTCCTCCCCCTCCTCCTCCTCCTCCTCCTCCAGGGACACGGTGAGCGTCTTCATCTGGAACTCGCGGGCCAGCTCCAGCAGCAGCTGCGCCTCGTTCAGGATCAGCCGGTTGCGGGTGCGGGTGAAGACCAGGATGTAGTCCTGATCCGGGGGGGGTGGCGGCGGGTCGGGACCCCCGAGCCCCGCGGGGACCCCGAGCCGCTCGGCCAGGAAGCGCGCGAACTGCCGGATCTCGTGGCCCGACACCAGGATGTTGGGCTTGGGGCCCTGCGGCTGCGCGAAGCCGTACTGGTACCACGTGGTGGCCTTGCTGAGCCCCACGAAGGCCTGCGGGAAGCACAGCAGGCGGCCCAGCGCCGGGAGCTGCGCGCGCAGCAGCGGCGGCCGCGCGC